ATTTTAACTTTTAAGTCACATTTCTATAATAAATACTTTAGGTTCTTAATTAATTATGAATTATTCAACAACATTACTTAACTTAACTATACAATATAGTTAATAAGTTAAGTTAGAGCAACATCGACAAATAAATTGCAATAAGAACTTACTATTTTTTTATATCTTTTGACGGCTCAATCTTAAAGTTAAAATATTTAAAAGTAGGTATAGGTAGGCCATTAGGTAGAAAATACATTGTACCTCTCTATAATAGTGGTTTGATTAAATATTTAATTTAATTTTTGATTTATTGAATTTTATCATACATGATACATATCAAACATAGGTTAGAAATGATAGAAGTTAATAAAAAAATAAAAATGATATATTAATTTTATTAAAAGATTATATTAAAAACATTTTGGATGTGGGACTTCTTCCTTCGGCTATAGTTTGCGATCAAGGAGTCCAAAATCGAAGATTATATTCTTTTACTGAAGGAAACCGAGTCTAATCCATGTACTGAAATACACGATCAAAAATTAGTTTTAATTTATGATATTCCTCATTTAGTAAAAAGCTTAAGGAATAATTTACTAACTAGAGATATAGAAATAAATAGTAAAATTATATCATTTGAAGATATCATAAAAACATATAAAATAGATGTACCTAGTGAAACTGCCAGAGCGATGTGTAAAATAATACCGCGATTCATTTACATCCTAACCCTTTCCAAAAAATGTCGTGTAAATTGGCATTACACATTTTTAGTAATAGTACATCAGCAGTTATAAAAACATGTAGATTATAGATTAATATAGGTGAATTAAAATCCTAAACTGCTATGAACACGGCAGATTTTGTATTAGAAATTAATAGAGCCCAGAAGTTCATGCACAAAAAACTATCAAAATATGAATGCAAATATGCGCTTAAGATCAATTAAATATGCATTTTTTTTTTTAAAAAAAACGTCGTTACTTTCTTTTTTGGTAAAAAAAAATTATAAAAATATTAAAATATGAGAAAAAACAACCACAATTTTATTTCACTGTTCACCTTTATTTGCACATTTTACAAAATGTCAAAAAATGTCATCCTCCATCGGATGCAAATATATTTTCACCGTATTCGGCCACATTACTACAAATTCGATTCGTTCCGACTTTTGGCATTTTAAAATTAATGGAAACCGATGTAAAACAAAAACCACACTATAGGACAATCGTACACGACTAAACCTTGTGTTCGGACTCTCACAATACGTTCTTGTTCTCGTATCGTGCTGGTGATATAACGATAATCGCAACAGTCATTACACCATTTTATTAATACTTGATATTCGAGAATATAACAATTGTYGATTATCGTTTTAATTCAATTTAGCTAAAGTATAACTGGGTTATCGCCTATCATCAATTATCGCATGAWCTTTCGRGTCCTAGTAATTACATAATATTAAATTATTAAAGTACGACCTGTATAATTTTTAACAGTTTTTTATACTCAAAGTCTGAAATTTCTATGAAATAATAATGAAAAACAAATGTTCAAAGGTAAAATGCAATAAAATGCAGTAAAATGCAATTTTTTTAACACATGCATATTTATGTAAAAAAACCTCAAAATATGCGAAAATATGCAAACTAAAATTTCATTTTTGAACTCATCAGGTAGTGATTCAAATTTGTAGCTCATCCAGCAACTTTTTGATGCACTCATTTAAAACATGCAAATGCATGAACTTCCGGGCCCTAGAAATTAATAATACCTTTGACGTGTATAATAGCAAAAATCTGTATGATTTAAAGTGCAATAAGCGATCAATAATGACCGAAAATAATAAACACATATTTGAACAATTATAAAACAATAATACAATTTCAAAATGCCAAAAAAATTGCACACACAAAAAAAAAAAATCAATACCACCTAGTTTCACAGGTATGATTTGGTCTTTAACGGCATTAATAAAATTATATAAATCTGAATTCAAAGACATAACATTAAATATTGATCAAGATCCAAACACATTTTTTATATTAACTAATAGACTTAATCAGGATCCACTGGAGAATTTGTTCTCAATAATGAGACAAAAAAACGGCTATACTAGAAATCCAACCTTAAGAATGGTTCGTACCTGCTTTGCAAGCATTTGCTCATTTTCGTTAATGAAAACATCTGATAAATGTAATTGTGAAGTAGACAAAGACATTTTTTTAACCATTGACGAATTAAGAAGAACTAAAGTTATGAAGTCGACATGTGACTTCAAAATGGACACTAATTTGATCAATGATAATCATAATGAAGTTCTAAATACATATTTTAAAAATAGCGACGATGATAATTCTAATGATGATTCCGATTTAGAAGCTGCAAGTACCACCATATTGAATTGCACTTTGGAAAACAGTTCGATTGTGTACTTCGCCGGGTATCTAGCAAAACGCTGCATAGACGAYTTCCAATGCGAAAATTGTAAAAACATTTTAGTAAACAACAATAACATACATAATATTTCGAATGAAATTCTATTGAAACACAAGACATTCGAACAAATTGATTATTTAAGTTACGATAAAGGTTTAAATAAACCCTCAATTTGGCTAATTAATGTCTGTAAAATCAGTTTCAATATTTTTATGAGCACATTTCAAACTATAACAAGTGAGCCAAAATTAATGAACAAATTGTTAAATTTAATTTTAATACAGTTAAAGATGGAAAATATAAGCGTATATGAATCATCATGTAAAGAACATTATTTATATATTGTAAAATTATTGCTTACAACTCGTATTTATAAAGCATGTAAATGGATGAAAGCGGAAGAAAATACTACTAATTATTCATACTGTAATAAAAAACTACCAAAATTAAGAATTTCAGAACATACATGAAGATATTTTACTCATTTGTTTTTATATGACCACATAATATATTATGTATTATAATACATTTATATAAAATATTATTTGTATTTTTACTTTTTGTATTTTAATAAGTTTTATTGACAACTTATTTGATTATTATTTTTTTTTTATTAATAAATATTGTAAATTATTTTTATTACTATGTCTATAGAAATAATTAAATATACCAAACTCATTACAGGCTGACTCACAGAACAATGTTAAATGATTAGATTAAATGTAATATATTTTGTGATTTAAACGAGTGTCAATAAATAATAAAATACTATCCCACAATATTATTTTACAGAAATGGTAAGGCAAGATTGCTGTTATCGTCAGGTAAGATATAATTATTAACTAAATATTAACAATGAACTGAATGAACGTAGTCTTCAAAAAACAATTATTGTAATTATTTAAATGTAAAAAAAAAATTATTTATTTTATGGTTATCATTAAAATCTAAAGAAAAATATTAAACATAATGTAAATAAATGAAAACAAAATTAAAAATATTAATTTTCAATAGATTTTGAACCTAATCATAACTCATAAGTAAGTATTGAAAATTTAACTAGGAACACGATTACCTATAATAAAATCAATAAAACAATATTACGCTAAAATATCAATTTAGAAAACCGGTTTAGGTTTTGCGCTGCAGGTCGCGGGACAACAACACGCAGCCGCTCACGACGGAACACGACGGTCGGCGACAATTAGAAATAATATTATTTCACTTGTAGATTATTATTTATTATAAATTAAATTCTTTATCGCCCTCTATCGGAAATATTTTCCGCGCACTGTATTTTGTATTGCAGTGAGCTATCTATACTATTTATAACCAATGGTAATACGATAAAACACAAAAACGTAATATAATAAAAAATACGAAATTGACGTACGTTGAAAGTTGTTTAATTTATCGTTAACTAGAAATAGTTAGAAATATTATTTAGTTACAAAAAATATTTAGGTACAATGCTTTTTTCAGGACATTGCAACATAAATGGAAATTAGGAGGACGATCTCGTATAAAATTTTCACTGAATATTTATTTTCTATAACTTACAACATATTAAAAATATTTTAACTTGTTTCAAGATGTGTWTGGAAATTTGTAGTTCCCAAATATTTTAGTTTATTTTTCTATAATTGTCAATACAATTTTATTCGTCGGGTGAAAAAGGTTGAAAATTGAATATCGTTACAATGGCAGTTGAACATTTTAAAGATATTTAGTCATAATTTTTTTTATAAACATTTTAAGTTTGAATTTTGATAAAATACGTAAAAATCACATAAATTTGTTAAATATTTTGAGTTAGAAATTCATAAACATTTTCTTTTTATATCTAAGATTTGAAAATTTTGAACAAGATTCCTCATAAGTTTGTCTACCTTTATCTAAAAAAAAAAAAATGGTCTACTGGAAAGTCAAATTAAATTTTTATAAGTGTTTTAAATTCAAGATTTTATACAACATTGAATATTCAATCGATCCGCTCATAATGGTTTTTATCGTTTTTCGTATACAATGATATTTTGTCATAAAATTCAAATTAAATACCATTCATTACAATGATCTACTATTGTTACCTACTGTATAGCAGAGCGACATACACTTATTTGCTTTTTTTAGTGTATTGATGATTACATTAAATTTAGAGTGTATAATGTAATTAAAAACGGAAGTTTATTAAAGTTTATAATTGTTGTGGGGCTTAAAAACATGTGTCCTTGTACACGATATTTCATTTTTGGAGAAAATTGTCCTCTCTCAATAACCCATCAGTTGCTTTAAAATGTTTTTTCTCGGCCTATATGCATATTGTGTTATTTTTTTTATATAAAGGAAATAAACTAATCAAAAATTTTTTTACAAATGTAATATTGAAGTACAACCACAAAGATTTTCTATGATATTACTTCTATTTAAATTTTAAAACTGTCTTCAAAAGAAAAAAATATATGCTAACAGTTAAAAGACTTATTTTTTAAACGAAACACAACATCACGTTATACTGCGAAACAGATTATTTAAATATTATTAACTATACCCAGTAGTGTGGATCTCATAGCTGAGAGTGACAGTAGTCGATTTAATATACCTTATTATGGGTGCAATAACCTGTCTTGTAGAAAAATCATAAGACTATAATATGTAAAGCGTTACAGAACTATTGCATACTGCATTAAATAATTCCATTGATAAAACTTAGTTATACTAAATAAAATAATGAAAATACTTACATGCATCAACTAAAAAATAAATAGAATCAACTAGGTAATTACAATAATAAATTGTTGGTASATCTTTTTTTATTATATATACGATTAATTGCATTGAAACCAGATCATTTGTATGCATTATAATATTTAATAAGTATTCAATTTAAATACTTAAATACACTTTAAAAGGCTTTGGGTATTTTATAATTTTCTTTCATTAAGTATTATGCCTAAAATATACTGATAATGATGTTTAATTTGACAGTTTATATAGAGTTTTGTATTATACAATATACAGCTTGATATATGTTTTTCATCAAAACAACCTTAGAAACTGACAAAAATTAGATATTTCTAGTTGTTTGATTTAAAAAAAAGTTTTTTGATTTGATATTGCAATTTTTATTCAACAATTGTTGTCGTTTATAATAAATATAATCWAATATAAATTTAAAATGTTTATTCCCGATGAGAATTCACTAAAATTTAAAAAGTTTTCCGACCGATATGAAGTAATCTTGTATTTAAATATTGTTACGTACCCTATCAATATTCAAAACATTATGTAAGTTTCTACTATGTGATATAACTAAGTAGGCAATTAATATAAAATAACCTGTTGAGGTCATCGTAAAAAAAGCGTAGATAATTAAACTATAAAAGCATTGTCACACGTCTCTTCTCGGAAAGTCACTGTTACTAATAAAGGATRTGAATCGACTAGAATAACCAATTACACCAGGAGACTCAAATTCTGCCTTATTGTGCCAGATTTCACCACCACGTACGACCACCTACTTCTACGGATACGAGTATATATAAGAGAGACCACGACAAGAGCTCGTCAGACGGTTTTTAAAATGTGAGCCAGACGGGTTTTTCTAAAATGTGAGCCAAACGRTTCTTAAATTTGAATCAGACGGTTAGGGACATTTAAGCCACTTAGAGGCAGGTCGTAAAACCCATTGTCATTTAAAACAATATTTCAGAGTAAGGTCGTAACACCGCTCACCAACACCTTTATAGCATATAAACTGTATTTTTGTGTCAAGTATTAATAAATTGTGAAAATAAAGACATTATCTCACTGTACATCAGTATTTTATCTCTATGTTAATGTATGAATCGACGTTCAGTCGGGACGTAACAATATCTTTAGGTACATTTTTTAAAACCTTTGCAAGTACTTAGATTTTCATCTTACGTACACCTATTTCACGTTCATGAATTGATTTCGAATATTTCAATCTTATGGGTGAACTGCATTTGCATTGCATGTAAAATGTATGAAGCACGTGAGTGTTGAAGAGTATACTCAGGTTAATGATCATCACAATAATACGAGTGATTACCACTATGAAAGAATGATTTGCTTAAAACATTTTTAGCGCCTTAAAAATGACGTTTTTGTAGAGGCCTTAATTATCTAGATTCAAATACATACATTTTTTGAATGATTCTCTTCTCTGCGCACTCCACAACGACCTATGGTTTGTGATATTAGCCACCTAATTTTCTCATGCTCCAATCTATCAAATCAACGGGATCAACTTTTTTCCGTTTCAAACATTTACAACATTCCTGTCGATACTAAAAATATCTTTTCAACCCAACAAAAAAATATTGTATTATACATTTTATCCTTTTTCAGCCATACAGTTTTTTTAATCTAATCAGACATCTTTTTTGTTTTCTGTATTCTGTTTTCTTATTATATGTATATATTATTTAATGTCACTTAAATTTTTGAAACTAATTGTTAAACAAAGTTTAAATAAAAAAAAAATGAAATACATACATTTGTTTTGGAGCGTTCCTTCTAAATCTGTGTAATCACCTGAAATTGTATTATTCCAGTATTTTATTATACATTATTATTTAATGTTACTGTCTCCAATACCATTTCAGGGCCTTAACCTCGAAATCTTAAACCTACATACGTTATGCATATGGGATATCAATGCACTARTAACGGAGATACTTATATAACAAAACATTAATTTGTTAATATTATTTTAAGTCRTTACAGTTGTAGGTATGGTAGTAATTTCGTATTCGTCAGGGGGGAAAATGTTTGAGTTATTAAGGATTCAAAAAATAAGATTTTGTTTGTATTTAATATTTCATGATTACATTTTAAAAATATAATTATTTTAATACTGGTTTTAGTTTACCCACACACACACAATATTGTCCATTTTAAAAATTTCATATACTATTGGGCCCAAGACATGTCTTTCATAACATTTTGTAAAGTATATTTTTATAAAATATATTTTATTTATGGAGGGGCGATAACAAGCAAGAGAGGTGGGGAGATAAATCTTATACGGAGTACCTAAAAATAAATATAGGATATAATTTGCCATCATACAAATCATATTCATAAAATAATAATTATTGGCCGTTTTCAATTTAAATACAAATTCAGACCACATGATGCTTTTAATGATAGATATAAGTGCACCATAATAAGTTTTTAGCGAGTAGTGGAATACTAGATATTACTTGCCAAACAAACTGAGTAGCACATATAAGACAAGAGGTTTATTATTTTTTTTATAATTATTTATAATTATTTTTATAATACGACAAACTAAACGGTAATAACATACGACGCTGACACACTCGGTCTAGTTGCTGTTGGTGAAGTGAAACGGCTTTATAATAATATAGACAAAATACAAATCACAAATAAGTATTAACTGAACTGAAAAACGTCTCGGTTTCCGGTGACGTGGAGACAAGTCGTTACCTCCGGTCGATTATAAAAACAGAAAGACTGTCCATTGTCCGGTCCGCCGACACCAAGGTTTGACGGTCTTGACCAGCCTACATGGTTAGGTTAAGTTAAGTTCATAAGCTCCCTGCNAACAAACTCTGAAGAAAACAGTAAACCACCTGGTGGCAGGTTTATACCTCAAGGTTAGAATTTACCTTAAAAATAAAAGATGGTTAAAGATTCCAAGGATACATTACCCCTGACCCAGGCCCCCACGTATTCGGGGGAGGAGGCCGGTCATCACGGAAATAAAGACTAGAAAACTGGACTCGGAATGAAATGATTATGAAGACATCGGAACAAGAATATGGGATGAATGGACCGACTTCCAAATTGAATTGGATAAGATGGAGACAATCTTAATTGAAATGGACGAATATATTATATAAATAGGGAAATAAGAACGTCCATAAACCACTGAAGGATTGGATTGTGAAGCTCGTGGTTCTGACGGCAAAGGTGAGCCCGATGAAATAACAACTGAGGATTACTTGTGGAAAAATAAGCGATGAAGTAGACAGGTTGAACCACATTATGGTTGGACATGCGAAAATAGTATTCTTCTTCACCCTGAAGCAAGTAGTTCCCTTGCAGCTCCCAAAATTATTATCGATTTAGGCGAATCCACCATGCTACAGCAGAAGATGACTGTCGAATTTAAAGGGGTTGACATCAGTGTAACTGAAGAGGATATTCGATACGCACTGAAAGTACGCAGTGTTAGGTACGATACGCACAGAATCGGAAGATTAAGAAGAACGCCAGGCGGACAGACTGCGGTGGACGCTCTCCTCTATCGGAGGATTGCGGAACTKCTCCTGTTCGAGGGAAGATTCAGAATAGGCTGGAGTACTTGTAAAGTTCGTCTAAATGYACGATCCAGCCATTGTTTCATATGTCAAGGATACGGACATTATGCAGCGTCGTGTAATGAYCCGGACCGGGAGAACACGTGCATGAGATGTGGGGAAGTACGACACATTGTGGTGAAATGCGGCAAGAAACCTTCGTGTCCTCTCTGCATGGAAAAAAGATTGAAGACTGACCACGTTTCGTGTGACGTTTCCTGCGAGAACAGAGTTAAAAATAGGAAATAATAAATACACATCTAGCTAAGTTGCTTAATAATGTTGGCCGAAAGCCCCCTCAGAGAGGTTAGAGGCCCCAATTTCCTGTAACTAATGTTATAATACATTTTTATGTGATGCGATTGTTTTTAATAAACGTTGCTACCGGGAGGAAGTAATTCTCACGTGGTTCACTCTCGGCTTGCAATTCAGAAGGTAAAAAAAAAAGGTTCATAAGTTTAGGTTAGTCGCCTAGTCCTCCTTTGAAGAAGCCAGGAGCGTAAAGAGGAAAGAAGTGCTTTAGGAGCAGCCAAGAGTGGAGGGGCCATGGTGGACGGCGAGCCGGCCCACCTACCTGATGGCATCAACGTCCGGTTCTTCGTCATGACGGAGTTAAGGTATGTGCAAACAAACCTTAGCCTTTGCCGGGTAGCTCAGTATCTGCTGGCGGAGTTTATAAGGACGGAAGACATCAMGGTGACTGTCCAGATGTACGCAACTCTCATGTTCTTGGTGGGTCGTGCATGAAGCGAAGGTGACGTGGTACGGCGCGCACTATCACGCTACGGCCGATAAGGCCAGGCGGGTCATGGTGGCCCTGCGTGGGCTTATGCCCAACACAGGTGGCCTCCACAAGATCAGGAGGCATCTGCTGTTGGGCGTAATACATTCTATATCGTATGTTATACGGCGCTCCGACGTGGGGCGCTGACCTGGATCTCAGCCGGACCGATCCTAGGGTGTTGGCGTCCGTCCTGTGCTTGGCTGCYATCRGCAGCGTCTGCGCGTACCGCACCGTGTTCCATGAAGCYAYGACGGTCGTCGCACGTATCACCCCCATCGTCCTGAATGCCAAAGAGCGATTCGCGTCGTTAGAGGTCAGAATGGCGAGGCGGTCGTTGGGAACTTGTGACGGGGGGTCCTTTCAGCCGGACGACTCAGCGGAGGCAGCGTGGGCAAATGATCCTCAGTCGCTGAGGTATCGTGTGCTGGCAATGTGGAACTGGGGTTTACTGGAGGCTGTGCCACCCACGGACAGCGGATGCGAGTGGATCGCGTCCTGGYCCCCCTGGACCTGCTGTAACTGTGGGTTACCAGGAGGCACGGCGAGTTGTTCTTTCACCTCATCCAGCTGATGACGGGTCATTGTTGTTTCAACTGGTTCCTCCGGAAGATCAACCGTGCACCGTTTGAAGGGTGTTCCCACTGTGGCCCACCCAACGGCTACGGTGAGGAAGTAGATGACGCCCATCACACCCTCGTTCGCTATGAGTCGTTCGTTCAGGGGTGAACGTGAGCGTTTGATCAGCGTGATCAGACAATTCGACCCAGGTGGACTGGTGCCCAAGATACTAGAGAGTTCGACTAACTGGGAGGCGGTTGCCAGATTCGCGAGGGACATTATGTCAGCCAAGGAGGGCAGAACGGGACAGGCAGTTCCGACAGGGTGTCACTCCGTCTAGGCGTTGGAGGTGATGTGGGACGCTCCTTCGGGGATGGCGGGCTCGGCTGGTGTCGTACCATCGGCGTCCGGGCTCCTGGTCTTTGGCTGCGAGGCCATCCATTCGCTCTTGGTCTTTCGTTTATGCTAATTTACATTGTTAGGGGCCTTAGTTGTGGGACTGTCCCATCTGTTCGCGCCGCCGTCATTGCCGTGCTAACAATATTATTAAGTACGAATAATATACACCACCGACCGACCCACACACACACACACACTCAGCACATATTCGTTGTTTTTGTATTGTTTTATTTTTGTCATGATTGTACCCTGCGAGTTATATAATATAATATGTAGATTAAAGCTGGTTATCGTGCGCCGCCGGATCGGTTGCAGGAATATAATTAACATGGCCGCCGTGACTTTTGTCTTCCCCCGTCCGTCGTTGAGTAAACCGTCGCGRGCGTCATTTTTTTGTATTTTGTTTTGCCACCTTTATTATTATTTTTTGTGGTCGAAAATTTCCACTTATTGTTATACTGTGCGGCGCAAATCGAGGCGCGAATCGCCGTTGGTGTATTTATATTGTGCGGGTGCTAATCGCCACCTTAAGTATTATGTTCTGTGGACGCGAATCACCAATTTATTATATTTTGCAAGGCGCTAACCGCTACTCATTTTTTTTTATATATATTCAATTTTTTCCTAATTTCTGTGTTTGTGTGTGTGATTTTTTCTTATATAGCTAGGACCAGCTGGCCAGACTGCGCTCCACCAAATTGTGAGTTTTTATTCTTATTGTTATTCATTTATACTATTAATATTTAGGTATTAGGCCAATAGGGCTATATACATACATTTATTATTATATTTGTCGTGCCAGAAGGGCCGCTAATTTATATATATCTTTTTCTGTTAGACCAGAAGGGCCACAGTATATTATATACTGTTATAGCCATAAGGGCTTTGATCTATTATATATATATTATATTTTGTATACCTACCATTATTATGATGCTGTTATTTTTTATATACTTGTACAATTATTATTTAATTTGTGTATTATACAGCAACTAATTATCTACCTGGAACGTGTTACCRTTTTACTATTAGTTTTAAACACACACCCACACAAATACACACTTACACATCCACCGCACACTAGCACTCTTTAGTTTTGCTCGGCGAACCCGTCCACTTCTATTGAGTCGCTATACCTATTTACACACAATCTACACAGGTCGTTCGGTGTGTGAGTATAAATATACAGCGTACGAAGTATTTGGTGACCAAACATCACGGCCTATTATTGTCCGTACCCGGCCTGTGCACCATCCATGCCAAATTGTTCAACTTGTAAATTGATTTTTTGAGGGATTGCTGTTGGGGGATTGTCTTCTTTTCYACTCCCCAAACATCGTTTTAATCATTTTTTACTCACCACCTGAAGCATTGCTTAACGGCAAATCGGGGTGGTGAGTGTATTTTCGATTGAAAATGAAAAAAAAAGGTTAGGTTAGGTTCCGCCCATTTGTCACAGCAGGATA